GTTCCAGCTACTTGGAAGGCTGAGGTGAAAGGATCGCCGGAGCCCAGAAGGTCGAGGCTGCGGTGGCCGGGAGCGGCCACTGCACTCCAGTCTGGGCGACAGAGTAAGACTCCAACTCAAAAGAAAAAAGAAAAGAAAAGAAAGAAGATAGGTTGAATTCTATGGAGAGAAAAGTTCAGTTAGAAATTGAGGTCAGACTATAATCCTCCCTTTGGGAGGCCGAGGTGAGTGGATTGCCTGAGCTCATGGTTTCGAGACCAGCCTGGGCAACTTGATGAGACCTCGACTCTACAATAAAATCAAAAATAACTGGGCATGGTAGCGCACATCTGTAGTTCTGGCTACTCGGAAGACTGAGGTAGAAGGATCACCAGAGCCCAGCAGGTCAGCGCTGGGATGGCCATGAGCACGTGTGCCACTGCACTCCAGCCTGGGCGAAGGAGTGAGACTCCAACTCAAAAAAAAAAAAAAAGAAAAGAAATTGAGGTAAGAGAGTTACAGAGGGGAGACAGAGACTAGATGAGAATGAAGACACAGAAAGGCAGAGGCTAATGGTTGGGCCACGTTGAGAGCCTAGTTTTTGAGTACAAAGGGCAGGAGTGGAGAAGATCCAGACACTAGGCTTGAAGCATGTTTCGATCAGTGTCAGTCATTATTATTTCCCAGAGCACCGCAGGAAAGATACGGATGTCTGGTGGATGTCCCGAGTCGCTCAAACTCTTGCAGTGATGTCTTTTAAAGGCATATCAAGCTGTCCTGCTTCAGCTTGTAGGGCTTTGGGACAAGACAACCTAGAGTCTTAACTGTGGTCTGGGCAATTAAGATTTAGTTTCCAATAAAGCCACATCAGGAGGCCGGGAAATAAATTTAAAAGGTTAATTACTGACAAAATGTGCAAGACAGCAGGATCTAGTTTACAGAGAAGTAAGAAATATCTCATACATGGTAAAAAGTACCAGAATATGATAACTGGCAAGGGTGGGTTGTAGTTCTCTATTGAAACATGAAATTTCTCCCTACAGTCACCTGCATTCTGATCAAAGATAATCAATGCAAGATCACTGTGTTCACAAAATTAATCTCATCAGGGTTAATCTGATCATTTCTGGAAGCACAGGAAGAATGGTAACTGATCACTCAGGACTTTTTAAAGTCTGTGCTGCCAGAACTTTTATAAAGAATCTCAAATTGAACTTTTACAAGTCTCTTGATATTAGGAGCCAAGTCAAAAACTTGTTATCAATTATAACTGTGTAATATTTACAGATCTGGGTGAATTTCCTCCTCCTTGAGATCCCCCAAATATTCTAACTTTCCTGAGAGGTAACCTTTTATACTTACCCATAAGGCTGAGCACTCTGTAAGCCAGATATCAGGCCAGTTTTTCCAAGAGGACTTGGAAAAGAAACACTGGCTCTATAATATCAGTCCTAGTTCCTTAGAACTGTCTGGTCATATGTGATTCTGCACAAATTCTCAATGACATTCCACAAAGCCTTAGTAGTATAACCAAAATTCCCAATTATGACCAGTTCCAGGGAGAACAGAGTCTTACTGAACTTATGCAAATAACCATAATGCTATGAAAATAAAAATATTTAATAAAAGTTTCTGAATTCTGGAGACATCAAGTAGGGAGAAAAAAGATATATGTTTCTTCTTTTTTTTTTTTTTTTTACAAAAGTATAGTCTACCAATTTCTGTAAGTTATAGATAGCTTAGGAGAAAAGAGGAAGAATTCTTTATAGCCACAAAACTGCTAAAAAATCAGCAATGTTCCAAACCAAAAGAACTCTGAAAGTTGCAGTTATTCTTCATTCAGTCTCTTGCAGTTCATTCTTCTGCTTGACCGAGTTAGCAGTTTTATGAACCCATCATCTTCTCCACTAGCGTTCAAGCCATCCTTACTAGTCCAGTTGATGCAGATTATTCAGATCAGCCTGGGCTTCAAGAGTGTCACCTCAGTGGGTCAGTCAGCCAAGCCCCTGAGGCTGGAGGGGCTGCTAAGCCTAGCCCTGGAAGTGCCAGCTCTAATGGGCTGGCAAGTCAAGCCCTGAGAGTGTTGTGATTCGGTGGGCTGGCAAGCCTACTCCCAGAGTGCTGGCTCTAAAAGGCTGTTAAGCCAAGCCCTGAGAGTGTTGCTGTTTGGTGGGCTGGCCAGCCTAGGGCCCACCCCCCCAGGCATCTCAACTTCGGCGGGCTTCCTCTTCCAGGCAGCTCTCCTGGTTCAGCCATCGCTTCAGGGTGGAGGTTCTTGTTTCATGTCCAGGAAGAATGGGGGACACAGCCTGCTGGAACGTGAGAAAACAGGATTTTTTTGAGAGAACAAAGAAGCTCCCACAGGAGAAGGTGACCTGAAGGGGTTGCTGGTCTCTGGGGTGGAAACCTGGTGATTATATAGCCTTAAGTCCAGACTGATTGGCTAGCACTAGCTGTGAGCTGTTGCTGTTCTGATTGGTCAGTATTAAGAACCAATCAGCAGAAGGTGGGGGGGGGTCTAATGGTGAGTGGTGAGCTGATTGGTTGCCTTTCGATCCCAGCAGTGAGTGCCTAAGCTCTAGCTTGAGAGACTTGCAGGGAGCTCTTT